AAGAGGACATGTAGTGTTGACAGCACTGCATCTTAAACCATACATGTTTTCTCATGGCAAGGGACTCTGAGCTGACCAGCCTTGGAAGGAACAAGACACTGGTTTTCATGTTCTGAGAAGTCCTCACACTTAAAAGTTTAACTACCAACCCAAAGCAGATAAAAGGGCACATCTGTGTGACTTGTCATTTCTGATTCCTTACTCAGAATTTGCATCCGTAAAGAGTGAGAGTATATAAAAACCCATTAAATGAATATTTTTGCTTATCAGTGACTGAGTGGAGGAGCAGAGGGGCTGAAGGCCAGTGGTGGTGGTGGTGAGCTATGTGGGCATCCTCAGCAGCCACATTGTGCCAGTGCACACCCTGGCAGGAGTCCATGAGTGTGACATTCCACTGGCTCTCACCACCTTCCTCAGCTGCTAGGCTCATTTCTGGTATCCCTCCAACCAGCCTCAAGCAGTCCTTGGTTTCTTTCTTAAAAACAACCATATTTACATGTAAGGAGATCTCCACATAAGTTGGGGGATGGCAGAAGTGGTGTTTCTGATCCCACTGGGTTGTGCTGGGCATGCATATTGAGCAGACAGGAGTGATTCAAAGCCATAAGCAGACAGACTGAGATGAGCAAGGTGAGAGACAGGGAATATTCCAAATGCCTGCTGCTGCACCAGGGCAGCCAAACTCCACAAAAAAAAATAGGCCTAAAAGACTTGGAAAGAAAAAAATCAACTCTTTGGAGATTGGAAATAATTTCCTTTACTCTTTAACACAGAAATGCAAGCAGCATGGGTGACTATCCTGTGAGGAAGCGCACCCCTTTTGCTCTGGTCTCCAGGGTGGCTCTTGCCATCGCAACATCCACATCTTTCAGCAATATCAGTAGGCTTTGTCCTCACAATGAACATGAGGAAGATGATCACTGCACAAATGAGGAAGCAGGTGAAGGAGGTTGCCTGCAAACACACAGGAAACCTGTGACTGAGGCAGGGAACTGAACCCAGACCATGAGTTCCAGTTGGGTGCCCAGTCCAAGCTGGGTGGCTGACAGATCACCTCTTCTTCTGGGGCTTTGAAATTAAAGTTTGGTGGGTTTTACAATGAACTTCTTTTTTTTTTAAATTTTGTCTAGTCACTACGTTTCATTACACTCACACTTCTGCTTTGTGAAGGCTTTTGATCCTGCTTCTTGAAAAAACCAACATTACTGAACATCAAACAGAATTTACCCTTCACAGTTTGGTCTCCTCCCCTACCAACATGATCCTCTCCCTAGTGCTCAGTGCTAGGCATCCTCTCCCTAGCACTCAGTGTTGTGTCCTTTGTGCACCTTGTGCTCATGACTGTGGCTTCATCAAAACCCACCAGTGATATTCAGAAGGAGATTCTTCTTTGTAGCTTCAAAGAGTTACAGCAACTGCTTATGTGAACAGCAGTGCTGTGAGGCAGCAGAGCAGATCTGGTGGGAAAACCAGAGAAAAGAAATGCACAAAAAAGGTAAGTTCCAAAGTGAGTGTTCTGACACTGCTATGTATCATGTCGACATGAACAATCATCTGAAGAACAGCTACCAGTAAGCCACAGCATCAGACTGCCTAGGATGTTTACTGGCTTATCTAATGAATCACTGGGAAAATGTGAGCCATGTGCTCATTGCCAGGGTAGTCGTCACGGTGGGTGAAGACAATGACTCTCACTATCATCATGACTTGTGCCTTAATTGATATTTTAACATTTTTTAAGATTTTTCTATGTAAAGCACATAATATGCCCTTCTAAGACAAAAACCTTTGGTATTACACTGTTTTCAAGGAGGTGCAACTAGTCAAACCACTATTTCATGAAATAATTCACACTGGCTGAATCCCCCAAAGACTGTCTCAAGATCTTGAAAAGGAAAAAATAACTAATTTCCACATGTGTAATAACTCACACGGTGAGAAAGAAAAAGACTTCACATTTTTGTGAGAAAGTGTTGCAAAACCACAAACTTTTGAAAGTGCCCAATATGCTATTTTCAGCTTATCTGGATGCAGCCCAAATCCACAGCTAACCAAGGTGCATCAGAAGACTGTAATCATTCCACTCCCACCACAGGCTTTTTGTGCCCACTGTGCATCCAAGGCTATCAAGCCCTACAAAAGAACATAGGACTTCTATGCTTAAAGCAGCCAAGCAGCTGCAAAAATAACTCTGTAAAAATATTGAATACTTGGTCCCACTCAGCAGCTGGAAAAACAATTACTGACTGAAAAATTCAGTGTTTGATATTACTTAATAGTTGGGGAAAAACTATTTGTGAATCATAATTAACGTTTATTTAACTATTTAAAAGCATGCATCTACTGTTTGAGGCTTCACAGAGAGCAAATATGTGGCCTTCTGGCACCATTAAACAGACTAATACAGTTAAACTGGAAGGACATGAGGCAGAAAACAACACTGGAATAGTCAATCCTTCAAGGAACTGGTGTAACTGAGATTGCCTCAGCATGCAGGCTGCAACACCATATTTGAACCAAATCAGCAGCAACTACCCTGGGGTAAATTAAATGAATGCACAGCTCTAGCTCCCAGTGCCAGAGCAATGCAAACCTCATGACATAAACTGGATGAAAATCCATTACTAACACTGATGGAGAAACTGTTCCCCTTGAAACAGCCTCAGGGCTTTATGGGCACCTCTACGGTGGCATCATCCTGGACCCAAGTGACAGCGGGGCTTCCTGGGAACAAGTGCAGCAGAGCCTGCGGGAAAGGACCAGAAGTGCTCATCACCTCCCCAGGAGCCAGGATCTTGCTTCTTGTGCTGAAAGTGCAGCCAACAGGACTAATGCAGCAATCATCCATCTGTACTCTGCACTGGTGAAGCCACAACTCAAATCCTGTGTTCAGATTTGGGCCTCTCACCACAAGAAGGACATTGAGGTGCTGGAGTGTGTCCAGAGAAGGGCAATGAAACTGGTGAGAGGTCTGGAGCACAAGTCTGATGAGGAGCAGCTGATGGAGCTGGGTTTGCTTAGCCTAGAGAAAAGAAAGTTCAGGGAGGACCTTACTGCTTTCTACAACTGCCTGAAAGGAGGCTGTAGCCTGGTGGGGGTTGGTCTCTTCTCCCAAGGGACAAGACCAAAGGAAGAGACCTCAAGTTGCTCCAGGAGATATTTATATTGGGCATTAGGAAAAAATTCTTCTCAGAAAGGACTTGTCAAGCATTGAACAGGCTGTCCAGGGAAGTGGTTGGGTCCCCACTCCTGGAGGTGTGGGGACCCAACCCACATTTAAAAGCCACGTAGATGTGCACTTAGGGATATGGCTTAGTGGTAGACAGTGTAGGGTTAGCAGTTGGACTTGATGATCTTGAAGGTACTTTTCAACCTAAACAACTCTGCTTGTATAATTCTTAATTATTTTATGGTTCCAGGAAACCAATAGTGGTTTAGGTCAGGATTTAAGTTCCAGAAGCAGACGAACCATTAACAGGCTGCTGAAAACAAACATTAGGCCTTGTTTTAAATCTATAATTGGGAAACTGTTTGACTTTGGACTTTTCAAAGCCCTAATTTCCTCCAAACAATTCCCCCACCTATCCAATGCACATTTGACATAGATGAATTGTCCCATCACTGACAGTAACCAGTCCTTTTTTCATCTCATTCAACTTCACCCATGCAGAATTCCGTGCCTGCTGGACGCTGCACGGGTCCAGCAGGCACGGAACTAGAACAAAACAGCAGTTACTGTATCTGCCAGATAACTGCAGGCAGAGTCAAGCCAAAGACTCCTGGCCAGCACAACCTCAGCTACAGAGTGACCCAGGTGTGTCAGTTGACTGTACAGAGTAAAGACTCCCAAAAATGAAATCTATGCCAAAACAGTGACGCAACCTCAGTGTTTGAAGGATTTGGCGACAGGATTAACATTTTAAAAAATATATATTTTATACCCAGTATATGTATAGCAAATGTCACCTGTGGGGAATATGTTGCAAGGTGCTGAGGAATGTGAGCAGTCTGTATAATAAATATGCTTAACTAAATGATTTGAACTCTAAGTCATCAACTCTCCTGCCCCTGCTCTTTCAAGCAAGCATGTTACCAGAGGCCATTTCAAGAGAAATGCACTTATGTCACAAATACATCTCTTATCATACTTCTCATAACCTGCAGCACCAGGAAAATGAAGGCAATATAAAAAGAAATAAAAATTACAAAATTTTAGGTCACAAACATACCTGAATGGATTATGCTTTCAAAATGAACAGTATAAATAGCATAATAAGGGTTTTTGGTGTGCATCTCAAAGTTTTCTAGGATGATGTTATTTATTCTAAATACAAACACATTCTCAGTGCCATATACAATGCAAATAAAAAATCATTGTGGATCCTTTTCAACTCAGGATATTCTATAACTATCCTTTCTGTGATAAGAAAAAAGATGCAGCTGACCAAATTCACCTCCATTCACCACCTGCTGAGGTTCCCTAGCAATACCCCCTGCATGGCCAAAGGGACAAAGCATTGCTCTTTTTGGATTAGACAGAGCATCTATTCATGGATCATTTAAAATTGAGTTAGGAAGACAGCCATTTATGAAAACTTCCACAAAGCATTCGCTCTATCAGGGCTACACCAGCACAGCCAAAATGCTCAAGTATAGGCTGGAATGAACACTCAAAAAACATGTATGTCATAGAGTTAATGACAAAATAGGTCACTATGTACTTGGCCATATTTCTTTCTAGGCTTCTATGTAGCTGCCTGTTCCCAGAATTGTTTCGGTACTATGCTGGGGAGTTCTAGTGCAAGAGAGCAAAAAGCCTTGAAAGGGTTTTAGGTTTACGCTGTGCACAGATATGGAGGTGCTCAAGCTCCCACATGCATTGTTAGTGTCTTACTAGATGTTAGAATAAAACTGTGAAATTACAAGAAACAACCAAAACATCTCAAAACCACCCCAACACTGAAGAAACCATTTGATGATGCTTTTGTAAAAACACTTACTTACAATGCAGTCCTGGAAGTGATTTCCAAGCAAGCCAACTGCTGCTCTAGACAGTTTACTGGATGGTGTGGCTCAGCTCTTTCATATAGGCAGCACTTACAGTTGTATCTAGAGAAGGAAATATAACCAAAATTCTATATGAGCAAATACATAAATAAAGTCATCTTTCTCTTTAAAACTATGATCAGGTTAAAATTAGCTTTAGCAGGTCCTGCTAAAGCTAGTTTTTGTGCCAAGCTTCACATGTGCTGCCTGCTCACAAGCCTCAAGGTGCAGCCAAAGCCACCCTACGGTGTATAAGCCAAGAGCAATTGTGCCTGAGAAAAAAACCCTGCAGTGAGTGCATCAAAGTGGCAAACAATCACGCCCAGCTGTTTTTCTCATCTAGTTCTACTTAAAACATTCGCAGGAAATGCAAGATGAATTAGTACCAAAAAAATGTAGGTGATTTCAGTAAGGCCAGGAATTCCAGGCACCAACTTCTATTTTCTCTCTCTTGAGTGGGTGTTCACTTGTAAATTGTAGACATGTTAGCAATTCAACTACTGAGCGAATTAACATTCAACTTAACAGTCATTGTTAGGTTGGGAGGTTATTACTGCTTGTTCTGCTAAAGTGACAGGTTAAAATACATTTGTATCTGAAAAGTTGTTTTCTACAATACGTATTCCCTGTCTTTTTGCGGCAAATAATTTTCTTCCATCATGTCAACTCCTATTGTATGAGCCATCACTGCCAGCTCCACCACAGCAGCTGAGATATGCAAGGAGAAACAGCAAGGGGACAGGTGAGGAGGAGAGAGTACTCAGCACCATTTCTCTTTGGGCTGCCATATTAATTTTTTTTCCAGGTCTTTTACATGGTTGATTTGAGACTTCTCAGCAAAAGAGCATACTTGCATTTGTATGATGTTCTGCTTTCAAAGCAAATAAGCAAAAGCAAATCCCAAGAGCAGAGGGCTCTACTTCATCAAGTCATGAGTCTGAGAAAGCTGCTTGCTATCAGGCACTGCTTGGGGCACAGAATGGAAAGTTGTGATTTCCCAGCCCTGCAGGTGATTATTATTAATGGAAAAAACAAGTTTTCAAGGCTGAGTTGACATACCACCACATGTTGAATTTTTGCAGACTCAGATCCATTTTGTACTAGTAAACGAGCTTGTATCCTTCCCTCTGTGCTTTTTTTTTTGCTTTTTTTTTTTTTTTAGGATAGCTCACAAGCTGCTGACAACTCACACTGTACTAGGAGCTGTTCACACTGCACAAAGTGTTTACCACTCACAAGTGATGCTAAAAATTAATTTACAGTACTGCTACAGCAAGCTTTGACAAATTGTCATGTGTTGACACAGTCATAAGTTGTTGGTTAAAAAAAGTAACACTTCCTTCTTCTGCCACTTCATGTTTGAGACCAGGGATGGGCACATTATGCAAAGTTTGAGGGTTTGTAAGCTTCACAAATGTTTGGGCTTCACAAAACAAGCTTGGTTGTGAAAGTTTTTTCTCTTACAGTTAGGCATGTGTTTATTGCCAAAAAGGCTCTAGTAAGAAAAAAAATCCTTTCCCATCTCCCAAGATCTATGTTGTGCAAAACCAGAAGAAAAGGCTGTAAAATAAATAACCTTGCAGGACACTTGTTCTAGATAAGATCACAGCAGTGACAAATAGCCTGTATCAACTCCTTAGAGCTGCAGACACCACCCTCCTGCTGTAGAAAGGGAGGAAAAAATATAGCTATACGTAAGAGTTTTAATTGTTCTCAGCTGCCACACGATGTTATCTTAAATGAACGCATTTACTTCTCGATTCTATATGGAAAAGAAAGAACTCCAGCAGTGGCATTCATCAGACAAGGTCCACATTGATTTCAGTGTACTCAAGATAGTTAGTGTTAGTCAGCACTCGTGCCCACCAGAGGCAGCTCTTTAACTCCTTCTCTTCTTCCTCAGGGCAGGACAAATAATCTATCTAGTTTACACTCTGGAATCAGTAATGGACACAAAGTTGTAGTCAGCTGAGGTAAGCAGTGTTTCAGTGGTGATGCCAACTTGAAACATTAACCCCAAACTAACCTAAATCCAGGGCTTCATGAGGAACCCTTAAAAGCCTGCTTCACATTGTGCACCAGGACATCCAGTGCTCCAGCAGCTTTCCCTAAGATCACCGAATCTTGGAGCACCGACTACCTAAGAATGCAGTGTAAATTCATTCAGGATATTAGCTGGGCAATACAAGGAATTAATTTTCTCTTTTTTCTCCCCTTAACACTTGAACAGAATAGAGACGCTTTGAGTGGTTCAAAAGTCCTGAGGAGGGGCAACATTCTACCTTTGTAGAACCTGCCCTATGCCTGCATCAGTGCAAGAATGACCCACCTAATTTCTCTACAAAATTTCCATGTTACTTCAACCAAAAAGAGCTCCTGCAAAACATTAAGGCGAGATTAAATTTTATACAGACTCTACATTTGCTCCCATTTCACACACCTGTATAGGATTTCTTCACCATCTGAGATGTTACTCTGGTAGATGACATACCCTCAGACAGATTTAAGGAAAGCAAAGGACATTTACATTGTTATAGTCAGGATGGATGTTGTCTTGTACTGTTGACTGAAATGAAATCACCCATGCTTAATCAGCATAGATCATTGTACATTCAGAAAAGCACTAAAGTGGTAACTCCTACCTTCCTCCTCCAAGTAATAAAAATTTATATTTTTAGTGCATCTCATTAAATGCATTATTTCACTGGATTCAGTCCAAGAGTCAACAGGGTTGAAATAAAGACAATTCAACTATTAAGTCAAAAGCTTCAGCTGACAAGTTACCTAGGAGGTAAAAACAATTCTCCTGCACCTTGGAAGAAAACAACTAAAATCCGTAAGTTATCTCAACTGCCAAAATATGATTTCTCCTGTGCCTTTTTACTTTGCTGTATAGAAGGGAACAAACAACTCCTCTTGGTTCTTACTGAGGAATGGAAAAAGCCCAGGACATTCAAGCCTCTAATCTAATTAAGAATACTGTGAGGGAAAAGGTGGGACCTGGGCTTTTCTGAAGCATTTTTTTTGTTTGGTTTTGCTTGTTTGTTTGGGGGACTTGTGAGTGTGAAGTAACAACCTCCAAGCAGAAGACCCATTCTTGCCAAGTCCCTTGCATGAGTTTGAGCTTGCTCTACACAACACAGGGCCAGTGCAGGAAGGTTCAGCTTTGGGGAAATGCAGACTCAGGATCCCCTGTGGCCTCTCTGCATCACACCTTTTGCTCTGCTCTCCAGTTTCATCACAGGGAAGACAGTCTTGGCTGATCCTGCAGCCACACTTCCTCAAAACTGCTATGTGCAGGGCATCAGAAGAAAGCCATAAAGATGACATTCACCCCAGGAAGCCACCACTGACATTTCAGAAGCAAAAGGGAAACATTAAGGTGTCCTGCTCCTTGATGATGCATGTACACAGCTGAAGGGGTAAATTCATATACTGAATATATATACCAAATATGCACTGGTAGTCATTGCTTGCATGGGATGCAGACTGTGAAACAAACTCCCCTGGCTATAAATTAAAAAGAATTGTGAGGATTTCAGCATTCTTATTCCATGGGAACTGCTTTTCCAACAAGTGAGACAGGACACTAGCCCAAAGGCAAGTGACACCAGTTACTGCCTACACTATGGGCAATCTTCCTGTCTCTGTTCTATGCCTGTCTTCACTTCACTGCAAAGGTCACCATGTCACCTCTGGTACACAGAGCTCTGCCACCCATGAGCAATGGGAAAGCAGCTTAACTGGCCAACTTGGCAGGACCTCCTATGAGCATTTGCAGGTGGGAGGAAACCTCCCAGGTCTCCACTTAGTGCTTCCAGTTCTTAAACCTTAAGAGATGCTCAAATTGCCTTGAACTAAAAGGATTTCAGTATTTGAATATTTGAGGTCTTTAAAAGATGTATAGATATGGCACTTAGGGACATGGTTTTGGGCTGGACTTGGCAGTCCTGGATTAAAGGCTGGACTCAGTGATCTTTGTAGTCAAAAGATGCTGTCTCCCTCCTGACTCTCTATCCTAGGTGCAGGAGGGAGAAAAGGGAAGCAGTATCTCTGTAAGCATGGAATAGTAGGAAAAAGCATTAGATCTTTGCCTTCACCTGGAGCACACCTTGCACTTCCAGCCCTTTCAACCAGAGGAAACTTGGTGGCCCTGTGGAGAGTGTAATGACTTGAAAGCCAGCACCTGTGTTGTGCAAAGATCTCTTAGGAGGCAGTGCCCCACACACTTGGGCACTCCTCTCCTTTGCCTTTTTTTTTAAACTGTATACACTAGTGCATTTTTCACTACTTTCTTGGCATGACATCAATTGCATGCTATGTAACAATCAATGCCAACATTATCTACATACAGCACAGAAACACGTAATTCACTGAAACAAGACTTTCTTCTTCCCCAGCTTCTCATAGCCAGTTTTGTTATATAAATCCATCTGACTTCCTGCTTGATTTGGATCTATTCAGATCAAACCTCTACTAAAGCCAGAAGCATTTTGTTTTTAACAAATATATTCCCATCCTCACAAATCAAACTTCTACTTCTAGGTGAGACAATGACATCCAACTTTTACTGTAATGTACTCCTTCTAACCAAATGAACTTAAAAATTCAGTTAAATGGCAGTGTACAGCTAAAGGGCTCATGCATCACATGGCAAAAATCATTATTTGTACAGCATCTGTATAAATATCCATAGGATTCTCTTGATATTTTTGAGTCACCTCAGGCCAGAAAGGTAACTAGATAATGAAGAATATCATGTCAAGTTTTATGAGATCTTTAGCAAAATGGCTTAAATTGAGCCATGTTGGCTAATACAGTTTGAAATCCTCCTCTATATATTCCACAGAGCAATATCTTGTCTGTGCAACCTAGTTAAAAGTCAGGAGAAGGAGATAGCTGAAAACCTTGCATGCCCTTTTGATCCACAATGATTTCCACAGGAGAAATCACTGCAGGAAAGGTACAAGTCAAAGTATAGTGTACTAGTAGTGTACACTCTACCTTCAACACCTGCTGATAGTGACAAATCAATGAAAAGATGAACATATTCCCATTTCTTC